AACTATGACCCGTACAATCTCGATTTGCATATTGTCAATCAAAGGTCCTGTTATTTGGTTATTCATGCAAATTAGGCAATTGGACATAAACATTGCCACGTGTGAGTGTTTTTTATTTTTAACCAGAAAATAAACAGCAATTTTAACGGTGTTCCAATAAGAATTCATTGGTCAAATTTTCACAGAATGTTCTTTAGATAAAAATCTATATAAAAAACGAAAAAAACTATTTTTTATTGAAATTCACAAATAAACTGCATCTCTACCTTAAATCACAGTTACAAGTAAAAGGTTTTAGACGCTGTATCACTTTTGCACATGCATGTTGCTGTTTTAAAATGAATTACATCGGCCTGCGCCTCGTACATATATGTTGTGAATTGTGCAATATCTGACTGTGGTTGGTGGTTTATTCCTTAATTATTGCATTTGCATCTTCATGTGGTTAACAATAGTGGTGACTATATGGTAAAAACTGTGATACATTATAAAACACTAATATAGATTATTGTGGTCGTAAATTTGTTTCTACATCTAATCACCAATATTGTCAGCTGATTGCCTGACAAAACAGCTGTGCTGCAGGTGATGTTGCTCCAGGAAACCAGTAGATCCTTGTCAGATTTGAGGGCAATTATTTGCTGACGATATTAGCTGACGATATACGATAGGAAACAATCTTACAGCTTCAGTATAAGACTATGACAGTAAATTTTTACTTGAGAAAGCATATTTAAGTGAATGTATTCTTCATGAGAGCAAAATATCACCTTGTGTAAATTTTGTTGAAAAAATATTGTCATTCAGTAAATGTCATAATTTTCCTTGTAACACATCTATTAAAATAAATACTGTCTGATGAAATATTTAGATTTACTTCAGTGTGGAAATCAAACATTTGGTGCAATAAAAAATTGAGCAGTCAACAAGAGTATTTTTAAGACTTTCATTTCTGAGAATGTACTCAAAAAAACAAAAAAAAATAGATTTCATAAACCTGTTTGCTCCTTGTGCAGATACAACATTACTTGGTAGTTGTGTGCAATTTGTTTATGTTATTCAGTAATTTTTTTAAAATTATGGGTCAGCCAGTATAGGTCATATACTTATTTTGTGATGTTAAAAACAAAAACAAAACAAATAAAGTTAAACTTTAAAAAAGTAATACAAAAGATTCCTTATGGCATATAATGAAACCACACAAAAAAAATATACTTTTTTTGTTTTTTCCAATGTTATCCTTTTTACAAGAACTTAGGCAATATACTAGTAGTTGCATTGTACGAGTTAGCCCGAAATTAGTATTGGATTTTCAGTAAATCTTGTCATAGAATTTTGTTGATTTTTCATGACATGCATCGAAACAAAAACAATGTTACTTTCTGATATTTACTAGGAGACAAAAGAGTTGTATTATTGTTATTATATTCTATTTTAATACAACAACGATTTGATAAATTTGAAGACGGAATTTTGAAATAAGAGATTGTAAGACGCTATGTTCCCGCGTATATATCGAAATATAAACACTCACCTGGCACAAGTCCCTGGTTGTTAATCTCATCAATTGCGAGGTGGAATCCTCCAGCAGCGATGTCCAAAGATACAGAGTCAGAGCACATCGTATCCAGCGGTACAAAAAACCCAAGCTGATAGGTATCATCACTCATAGCACTTCGCGATGCTATGGCGAAAAACGACAAAAACAACAAGTCAAATCGAGACATTCTCGTTTAAGTATGGGTGGTAGATTTAACTGCGATGACAACAAATAATAATGTGTGAAATACACTGCGGAACATAATACAGATCCTTTGGAATACAATATCAAGCGAATATGAACAAATTTATCGTCTGGTAAAACAACGTTCCGAAAGATTGTGAGCTCGAACCTACGATGAATGCGAGCAACAGTAACTATCAATTTAAATGAGCCGCCAGTAACAGTTGCAGATTTGTTTTTTCAATTAACAAGAGAAGAATTGTGACCGTTGTTGGCCTCATTTATTTCCCATATTGCTTCCAGAATTGAATGTACTATTATCGTCAGTGGATAAGGATTCGAAATTCAAACGACAAGCCCAGGATTGTTGACAGCTCTCTTCTATTGTCGGCTAGCCGTCCGGCTAGCCATACTTAATTGACGTTGAGGGCGAGATTTTCTTCTTACGCGAGGTGTTAGTTTGTACCCTCGTTCGCCTGCATTGTGTGAATTGTAAGCGTTATTCTGGCGCTTAATAATAACGACCAGGAACGAGGTTAAAATGGCAAACTTACTTTTCGAAATTTGTTCACTGCCGGATCACAAACCTATTTCTGAAATGTTATTGACATGTATTTAACCTAAATGCATATACAGAACATTAATAATGGCGTCCCCGACAACTGTATTCGTCGTTATTATTGTATTTCTAACAATTTTATCAGCCGCCAAAGCTACTGGGACTGTTAAAATTGGACTAATGTTACCGCTGTATGGCGAAGGAGGTCCCTACCAACCTATTGGCAGAACTGTACCAGGTGCCTTCGATCTTGCAGTTCAGCATGTTAACGAAAAGAATGTTATAAACGGTAGGTGTAAAGACACTGAAGACATGCTTCTCCAGGGTGGGTGTAGTTGTCCATCATCACAAGGGCTTGACGATACAAGAATAAACCTCGCCAAACTCCACCGGCTGTTCCTTGATTTGTTTACTTGTGTTTAATGTTGTTATGGGAATCTAACAGAAAATATTTCGGCTGTGCAAGAGATCTTTCCAATTATAATGTTATTTATCTGCCGTTTGCTACAGAATCAAGTTCAATATGCAGATATGTAATAAGTTGTGTGCAGTAAATTGCTTACGACAAATATCAAATGTCAAAGCATGGAGGTAAAAATAAATATCTTCAGGAAAAAGTTAAGACATGTATGGCATCCTTCTTTTTTCACAGAAATGGTCACATAGCAATTATACAAAAAAAAATACAGCACAATATAAAATTCAAACAAAAACTTATCAAATATATCTACAAATGGAGGCGTATTAATATTTATTTTGATAAATTTGGCAAATGCAGTGTTTATGTTATGTTCGTTACTTAAAAATATATATGCACTTGCCGGAAGGGGGGGGAAATTGGTAAAATTTGTCATGCATAAGGTAATTTTCTTTTATCATTGTAAGAAGAGCATAGCATGATGAAGTGATGTTCATCTTTGAATTCTTTGTTAGTACAAAAGATGCAGCAAATTCTTTTTTTTTACTGGTGTTTTAGGTCTTGCGTGCCGTCCTGAGTTTTCTAGTTTAAACAGCTTTAAGTTCAGTTCAGTTTAGTTCTAAGTTTATTTTCATTAATCTCAATAATTTATTGTTCCAATGGTCAATGAATTGTTCTTATAATTTGATATGTAATTTTCTTTGCTCAGTGGTTGTATTTTCTTTGTATTTATTATCTGTGTTTCATTGATATTGTCTATTTGCATGTGCATGTCTTTATACAACTGAACCATTCACTATTTACATGTATGCTGTTTCTTTTACTAATTTGTTTTGTTTTTTTTGTATTTATAAACTTTTATTGGAGTTTGCACTGAAATTAACATCTTACATACCTGGTTTGTACATTACAAATTGCAATTAATCTACATATTGTGAAGTGGATTGGGTAACATTTTTCATAAAATATCCCCATTTCTTGTTATGAGAAGTCAACTTATTCCGTCGGACAGCCATGAAGTACTCTATCTCCAGGAAATATTTTACATATCTTTTGTATGCCATGAATTCTGGCTTTTGATTTTTATATCTACACAAGTAAATATATTTTTTTGCTACCAGAAAGA